AGGTGGCACATGCTCCATGTTGTTTCTCCTGCCATTCAACCTTGAGGAAACATCCACCTTGTGGATAATCCGGTTTCTCATTCTATTAAGCTGCACACCTACATTAACATGGTCACCTCAGGCCGCCTTCGATGTCATCAGCATCACCTGCTTGGGTTTGTTTGCACAGGAGGCTATGCCTTGGGCCTAGTTGTTTTCCACTATGTAACACAACATGTCTTTTCCAACACATAGAGGACAGGCTCACTGCAACAGGTGACCTCAGTTCAAACTCTTCCATTGTTGATAGAGATGAATTCTTGGTATTCCCAGAAGGAACAGAAACCTGCAACATAGATCATGGTATGCCTATTACTATAGGGTCCTCTTCATCACAGTCTTATACATCTTGTGGGAACTCGCTTCAGAGTGGTAGAGCTTTTTTAAAGCACACAGCAACTCGCTTCGTTAAGGGCCTTTTTGCCCAATTTTATTAAAAAGAAAAAGTTCCAGAAACACAAATGCTTCCCACGCAGGGGTATCTACCATCGAGCAAAACAATTCAGCCTTCTGGCTCTTTCAGCTATACCGCTCTATATCTGTCTCCTACAGACTTCTTCCACAGGGTTGTTTTAGCACACAGCTATTCTCAAACAGCTCCTTGCTGCTTTTGGCTTCCACCTCTCCTTGGTGGAGCCCTCCTGACTCCTATCTGCCGGGGTGGAGCCCTCCTGACTCCTATCTGCCGGGGTGGAGCCCTCCTGGCTCCTATCTGCCGGGGTGGAGCTCAGAATCATGGCCTGGCCTCCCCAAAAAGGCCTGCACACACCTGTGCAATCAGCACGCTGGCTGCTCCCAAAATATGGGCCCAGGATTGGAGATTTCATCCCTCCCAAATCTCTTAGAAATCTCCAGGCTACAGGTCCCAAAACAGGCTTTACAAACCAAAGAGGAAACTTATAAACCAGTTTCCTCTGCATTATGAGAACTGCCTGGAGCCCCTCAACCTGTATGGTTGAGAATCCTGGGTCTCCATCATGATTTCCACCGTGGCAGGATACCGCACTGCCACAATCTACACAATATGATGCTGAGACCTCCAATACCCCTGCAATATCCATTAAAGTTTTTTCGGTCCATGTACAATTAATGCAACAGTTGGCTTTCAAGGGTTTTAAGCGCGTTTCCGCACCTTCTGCAACAGAATACAATTCTGACCCTACCCCTGCTGGACCTCCACCTCTAATGTGCCTGAAGCTCCTATTACCAGCTCTAAATGAGATTCAGAGTTTTCCCAACCTTCTCCTGAAGGGCCTGTGTTTTAACAAGTTCCATATGGCTCAGCTTTGCTGCTTTGTTGCTTTGATGGAGTGTGTTCTACCGTGCAATTGGAGGATCAGCCTGCTTTTGTAGGCATAGGAACTTTTAAAGTTGGTGCTACAAAGACATTTCCAAAACACTTAGTACTGTATGTAAAAGATTCCTTTACAAGGACTGGAAACAACCAGTGGAATCATTGCTCCCTCTTACAATGTGAAGGAGCTTTTTTCCCTTGAAAGGGAATTTACTGATAAGTGGTCTCTGTCTACTATAAACACTACAGTCATCCACCTTAACAAACATACCACCAAACAGATGGATAATGTTCTTACATTTAGGAATTTTACTGACTATCAGTTGGATATTCTACTTAGGTCTCCGTTTGAGTTATCTGGTATTACATTCTGCCCCTTATTGGCAGTGACTTAGATTTATGAATCCATGTCAGTGTAGATCAGCAAGACTGCTTCATCTCGAGCATAAACCCTTGTGTCCTGGAACTTTTGGAACAATTGTCTGGAGTCCTGCTTTTTAGCTGAGTTTTTCTTTTGCATCTAAGCTTGTGTCTCGCATGGACGTAATGTCTGTTTAAATGACTTGGAGTCTTTGGCTTGTGTCTTGAATGCAGCAGATATACTAAAGGGAATATTTGATTTGCGTACTTTTAAAGGTAGGCGCCTCTTCAGTTTTGCCCTTGGCGTTATTATGGCTCAGGCTTCTAGTGCTTGGGATATGCACTTCCCTCAGTGCATTTACTCATAGGATGGGGTTGAGAAACCCTGTTCTAAGGCTACTTTCACACTAATCCGACTCAAAAACAAGCAAAAACACTGCGCTTTTGCTGTTCTTTCTGAGCATTTTTAAAGGACACGTGACTTAAAATCTGCACCAAAAACTCTTCTCAGAGGTGATTTTGAGGTGTTTTTCAAGCGTTTTCCCTTGATTTCAATGGGAAGAGGCACTTTTGGGGCATTTTTTTTAACTCACCAAACATGCCCCAAAGATGCTGCAAGCAGAAGTTTTTACACCGCAAGCGCAACTCATATTGGAGCATATTGTTAGAAACTCTTCTTCAAAAACTTGAATATAGTTTGTGGAGGTTATGTATATGATAGAGCCAGCAGTTTAGAATCTTTTAACAACTGTATAATGTAGTGTAACTCTCAAGAGTACCAAAGATATTGTAGAATCCAGTGTTACTCCATAATACTCGAATCTGAGTCGGAGTCACTGCTAAGCATTTCACTGATGTGGTTTAACATACAATACCCTATCCTAATCTGATTGATTTAGATGGGAAACCAAAATGGGACATTTTTGCTTACCAAAATGTGCATGCGTCTTTTAATATGCAGGAGGTAAACTTGCATTTGTTACTGGACCTTGTCAAAATCTGGTCAAACAGTCTTCAATTTTCTCACTACCCTGTTGGCAAACATGTACAAATGCACAGTATCATCTGGTTTTGGAAGCTAGGTATGTTAGCTTATGTTTAGGAAAACCTGTTTTCTACATTGTGTTAAGGAAGATCTATCATTATTTTTTTGTTATAGTCCTATCATCATCTATGGGACAAAGTACTCATAGTATATATCCCATGCTTCCAAGTGCTTTCTAATCATAGTTGTGAGATCTGACCTGCTATCCCCCCCACCACCTCCCCAATCTGCTGCCGATCCAGCAGCAGCTTTGAAGGGAGGTCAGGTGATTCATATTTGCAGCTTGCCTTCTTGTAGAATCCACTGTTCTGCAACAGTTATTGTACTCCAGTATTCCTGACAGTGAGTTCCCGAGCAGTCCCCAGTGCTCTTCATAAGCATACACTCCAAGACTCCAGACTACACTCCATTGTAAAACCTGTAGCTTCATTTATCCAGTCAGTACACAGATTGATTCAGTTGAACTTCCGCCCTCTTAATTACTGAATTGAGCTCATTATTACGTGAAATGGATTAGAGGGGGGAATTTCAGGTGGCCCTGCCTGCGCACTGAATCCACAAATAAAGCCTTTACTCTGGCTTTTACTATGGAGTGAGGATCACTTAATTTTCTTTTTGGTATGCAAAAGATAAAGGTGCTTAGCTCCAGTAACAATAAACATGTTTGGTACAAATTAAAGACATTGTTTCTGAAGAAGACCCTCATGTCAACTGTGAAGCATAGTGGTGGAAATGTTATAGTCTGGGATTGCTTTACTACTTAAGGGCATGGGCAGCTTGCAGTCATTGAGTCATCCATGAATTCTGCATCACATTAAAGTGTGCGTGATAGGACTATGTGGCCATCTCTCTGAAAGTGGTAGTAGTACAAAAAATAGATCTTTCAACGTAATAAGGATTTGAGCCACGCTAGCAAATTGTTCAAGTAATGGTTCAAAATTACATATGGGGAGTTATGGACTGGCCTGTTTAAAACTCTCATTTTAATCCCATTAACCACTTGACCTCTAGAAAATTTTACCCCTTTCATGGGGTTTTTTTGCTATTCAGCACTGTGCTACTTTAATTGGCAATCGCTCGGTCAAAAAACACTATACCCAAGTTAAATTTATATACGTTTTTTTCACACAAATAGAGCTTTCCTTTGGTGGTATTTGATCACCACTTTTTTTTTTTCACTTTTTATTTTAAAAAAAAAAATTATAAAAGACTGAAAACCTTGAAAAAGAAACAGTATTTTCTAGTTTCTGTTATAAAACATATCCAATAAAATCACAGTTCTTCATAAATATAGGCCAAAATGTATTCTGCTACATGTCTTTGGTAAAAAAAAAGAAAAATCCCAATAAGTGTGTATTATTTGGTTTGTTTGAAAGTTATAGCGTCTACAAACTATGCTATATATGTACCTGAATTTACGCAGCTATAGACACTATACTACCGGTAGTAATGGCAGTGATCAGCAACTTATAGTGTGACTGTGATAGTGCGGATGGCAATCTGTGTCCAACTGACACTGACTGGGAGGGGCACTGACTGACATTGACATCGCTAGTGACAATAACATAGTGATCACTGATAATACTGTACTAATGGCACTGGCTGGGAAGAGGTTAACATCTTGGAGCTATCAAGGGGTTAAATGTGTGCCTAAGAAGTGTAATGTGTGCTGCTTTTACTTACAGATCTGGCTGCTTTTTCTCCCTGAACTCAGAGTTGACTTCAGGGAGAAGAAACAGCCAGATCGCAGTCTGTGTACAGAGTCCTGTGTGTATGTAAACACAGAACTGTGTGCTGTGATTGGTAACAGCCAAGCAGCAGGTATAGAGCCAAAATCATTGGCTGAAACCTACATGGGTCAGCATGCGTGACCAAAAACCAGGAAGTTTATGGCAATGTACAGGTACATCATGGTGCCTGGCTGTGCTGCCCATTCGCAGTAAATGCCCTGTGGGCAGATGGCAAGTGGTTAAAAATGTGTTTAGGGTTTTTTTAAAACAGGAAGTTTATGTAAGGAAACCCACAAACATCTTAAAGCGGATGCCAGAGAGTAGTAGGCAATTATTGAAATTGCATTCAAGACATAATTGTCCTAAAAATTCTAAAGGGGCCAAATTTCAGCTTCTGAGGTCAAGGGTGTGCTTACTTTCATGGAACATCATTACATATAATGATAGTTTTGTTGAATAAGTGCAAAATAAAAACAAAAGGCAAATTTCCTTGTGGTTTTATTTAATTTATATCACCTTTATCTGTAGGCACTGTTTAATCGCTTTCTATCCGCCCTATAGCAGATATACTGCTACAGGGCAGCACGGGTGTACAAAATCACGTATATATACTTGGCTATCAATCACCGGGTCCTGTCCGGTGATTACTCACCGGCACCCAGTAATTGCCGAGGATCTCCGACAGGGGGGGGGATATGTGAGAACTGTTAGTAAACAAAACTGTTCTCCTTCCTATCAGCTCGTGCACACTGCTTTGTAAACAGCCATGCAAAACAGTGTGATTACAGTGAAGCGAAGCACACAGACGCAGCCCCATAGTAAAACACACCCAGCACACAGTTAACCCTTTGATCGCCCCCGATGTTAACCCCTTCCTGCCCAGTGCCATTAGTACCGTGTCTGTCAGGGCTCCCAGGTGTGACCAGAGGTGTGTGGCTGACGCAGGGAAACGCAGGCTTCAGATATGTTATAAACAATATAATTTATTAACACTAACAATACAAACATAAACGCAGTGCAATACTAAAACATAATACAGTGCAACCAAACCAAACCAAACCAACCACCCACAGATAACAGTACATACAAGCAAGCGTCGTCAGGCAGGCCGGGTCAATATCAATAGGGCAGGTAGGTACAGGGGGAGCAAGCGGAGATTGGTCGGGGTCACAGGCCAGGTTCAGCAGGTAGCAAGCAGCGTAGTACAGAGGGTAAGGCAGAGGGATGGTCAGGGTCACAAGCCAGGGATCAGAACAGGTAGCAAGCAGCGTAGTACAGAGGGTCAGGCAGAGGGATGGTCAGGGTCACAAGCCAGGGATCAGAACAGGTAGCAAGCAGCGTAGTACAGAGGGTCAGGCAGAGGGATGGTCAGACAAGCCAGGGATCAGAACAGGTAGCAAGCAGCGTAGTACAGAGGGTCAGGCAGAGGGAATCAGACAGGAACAGAGAGCAGGAACAGGATACAGGGCCCAAGAGAACACAACACCAAGGCAGAGTCTGCAAGTCTGGCCATCCCTTAAATACCCCAGCATAATCAGTTCCAGGTGTTAGCTGGCTGCAAAGTTGAGTCTCTGATTGCTGGGAGCACCCGCTGGCCAGCCCTGGTACTGCAGATCAAAAGGCAGGTGAGTCCCACCATTGCTGGCTAGTCCATTCCTGACAGTGTCAGTGCTTTTTATAAGCAATGATCACTGTATTTGTGTCACTAGGGATGTCAGTGACACCAAGTCAGTTCCCCTCAGTGTCAGAATGCCCACTGCAGTCCCACAGTCACGCTATAAGTTGCTGATCGCCGTCATTACTAGTAAAAACAAACAAAAAAAATCCCAGTATATATACCACCATTTTAAGTGCTATACCTTCACGTAAACCAATTAATTTACACGTACTGGGATTTTTTTTTAGCAAAGAAATGTAGCAGAATACAATTTGGCCTAAAGTTATGACAAAATTTGATTTTTTACATTTTTTTTACTGGCTATGTTTAATAGCAAAAAGTAAAAAATATTGTTTTTTTTCTTAAAATTGTCAGTGTTTTTTTTTATAGCGCAAAAAAAAAAAAAAACACACAGGTGATCAAATACCACTAAAAGAAAGCTAAATTTGTGGGGAAAAAAAACTCATAAATTTAATTTGGATGCAGCATTGCATGACCGTGCAATTGTCAGTTAAAGTAATGCAGTGCCATAATGCAAAAAATGGCCTGATCAGGAAGGGGGGTAAATCCTCAGGAGGGAAAGTGGTTAAATAAAGATCTAATATTTGCTTGTTCAGATATGTTGAAAAAGTCAAAATATTCTACGATGTGTTTTTTTTTTTTCATGATTGCATATACAGTATTTCCCTTTTCTTACTAGGCCGATGGCAACATTGTCATCAGGATAGATAGATGGATTTAAAAAAGACAGCAAGTAAAATAATTTTTTAGTACAGTGGGAAAAGGCCAGGACTGCCTCAGGTTTTGTGCCTCCATTAGAGGTTTTCCTTCACCCTTCAGTGGAACACAAATGAGGTGAAATCTTGGCAAAAAAACCTCACAAAGCATTAAAAACCTGACAAAATGTTGGGTGGAGTTGCACTTTAAATATCAAAACACTATAATTTAGAAATATGTGGTCAATGAAGATGCGCTATATTTTTGAACCAAATGGAACCTTTTCACATCTCTGCCTGGAGTTCTGCATTTAACCTCTTGCCGTCCGCCTGCTGTTTATAAACGGCAGGGCGGTGGCAGTCCAAGGTCGGGTTGCCGTTCCTAAACGGCACCCGCCTTTTCTAGCTGTGCGCGCTCCCTAGGAGCGCGCACCACCGCGATCCGGTGTCCGCTGTGTCCTCCGGACACAGTGAAACACCGATCGTCGGACGGGACCTCTGTATGAGGTCCCGGTCATATGATCACTGATTGGCGAATCAGTGATCACATGCAAAGTAGTAAGCAAGATGTCACTTGTGACATCATTGCTTACTACGTGTGAAATCTGTGAATGATCACAGAGGTCACATGGTACAAGGCTATTCACAACAGCCTTGTACCATGTGACAAGCTGTGACCAATCACAGCTCACTCAGTATTTCTCAATGACTGCAAGAATGCAGACAGAGAGAAAGAGAAATGATTGCTTTTACATCCTATATGGGTGTAAAAGCAATCAGTGTAAAAAAAAAAAAAAAAAAAATCTTCATCACCCCCCACAAGTAGTACAGTGTCACCATGGTGACACTGTACTGCTAGGGTGACAGTATGTAAAAATAAAAAATAAAAAATAAAAAATAATATAAAAAAAAATAAAATAAAAATGTAAAAAAAAATGTTTAAAAATTATAATGTTTGGCTATAAACTAATTTGGATTTTTTTTTTTTTCCAAAAAAAAATAACGGAATAAATTTTGGCCAAGATTTAGGATGAAATATTATTTATTTGCAAAATTTTATAAAAAAAAAACACTTTTTTTCAAAATTTTTGGACTTTTTCATTTACATAGTAAAAAAAATAAAAATCCCAGCGGTGAATAAATACCACCAAAATAAAGCTTTATCTGTCTCAAAAAAAATGGTAAAAAATTCATATGGGTACTGTATTGCATGACCGCGCAATTGTCATTCAAAGTGTGATAGCGCTGAAAGCTGAAAATTGCCCTGGACAGGAAGGGGGTAAAAGTGTCCGGACAGGAAGTGGTTAACACAATAAAGTGTTATGGTTCGCATAGAAGTAAGCTTGAACCTATACAGTATATGTGAATCATTTTCTCTATTAACTTTTACTAGTCAAAATGTGTTGGCTTCAGTCGTGACAGAGGTCTAGTAGATATGTGTGAATGGTTGTGAATTATCACATGCATAAAACTCAAGGCTTGAAAGGTTTTTAGACTTCACCTCTGCTCTCAGTTTGTCACAATCCAGCAAGTTAAAATACTTTTGTTCGCCTCTACCTCTGGATGCATGTGTCTGTCCTGAGTATATGCCAGAGGATCTTTCCACAGCTGGAAAATCTTTTTACGTGAAACACAGGAAAACATTAAAAAGCTGAAGTGTTTGGTAGTTTCTATGCATATTGTAAACCTAATTACCTTCATAAAACTCTATGTAAAAGGTAGATTCTACTATACATTTCACAGGAATGTATGCCTAAAAAAAGTCTCTAATAAAATGACTATGCATATGACAAAGAAAATGTGTTGCCGGATTTATATAGGTATATTTAATTAAAAAGTGTGCATGCTGCAAACTTTATACTGCAATAGACATTTACTGAGACAGAGCTCTTAATTTTACATTTTATAAAATTGCATGATTGGTGCTCTTTAAGCGCTTGAACCCAGGAGACACTAAACCACAAACCAGTGTTTCCAAGAAGTGAGAAATTGATGCCAGTTACAGCCTCAAATTAATGGGAAGAAATCTATATATTATTACCAAAACCTTTTCTACATTTATATACTCATATTTCTGAAATCAGCACATTAAAAAGACAACTGTGTAAAGGTAATTGGATAAATTATTGATATAAAGAAGAGTGGGTGTTATATTTGTGTAAATCAATTATGTATACAGCAAGCAAATTCTGTGCTTAAAGGGTCAGTCCACTAAAAGTAATGTTCTAGTTTTTGATAGATGCTGGAGCGTCGAGGTGTCATGCATTTTGAAGCATTTATAGCACCAGCAAAATGTATGGATATGTGCTAATTGTAAATGGATAGAACATTTTTTAAAACAAAGTAGGGAATACGTAAAACTCTACAGTCTTTTATTGCTGCTCACACTGCATTGAAGATTTTTTTACTTGCTGGCCATTTTGTTTGGGTGTATTAATGCATGTAATGTCATGCAGTAACATGCGTTGCTGTCGAGGAACCTATTTATTTCAAAGAACTGCCAACACATAACAAGCCTTATATTGGACCTGTCCGATTTTTGCTGAAAGAATACGGCACAACATACAATAGTGTTACACTGTATGTTAGGGCTCATGTACACTGCAGCTGATAAACTGACGTTCAGGAGCTTTTTTGCGTTTTTTTTTCAGAACTCTCCCTAATGTTTTCCTATGTGTCCATGTACACATAGTCATTTACAGGCAGTTGAGTTTACAGTCGTTTTTTTGAACGCACCAAACTTGCATTCAGAAGTAGATTTTACCGGTTTGAAAAACTGCGTTATAAGCGTTTGCGTTTAGAAGCGTTTTTTTAACTGTTCCATGTCCAGATGCTGTCTAGAGCCTTTTTTCATCATCAGAAATGCATGCAAAGCGTTTTCCAGGTACTCAAATGGACCTAGCACATCAGTGCAGTCAGTTCCAGGTTTTGCATGAAGGAAAAAATGGTAGAACATGCTGCATTATGCTCATGATGGTATCTATGGTGAATACAACCAGAAAAGATAGGTAATCTCAACACATTCTGCTCTCTCTGCTTCTGCTCTCTCAATTACTCTAAAAATGTTTGAAATAGTTAATTCTTTACTGTTTTTCAGTACATTCTGGGCATTTGGGAAGGTCTCCTGAGGTTATCTTTTAAAAACGCTTATAAGCGCAAACGCACATAAACGCGGATAAACTAACGTTTTTTAACCTACGTTTTCCAGCAGTCAGTTTCCATTGTTTAGAAGAGTTTTCCAAATGCCCCATGTACATGAGCCCTTATGGTGTTCTGCAGCGCAGGTTTTGGAGGTTCACTGCTTTAATAGGGTGGCATTGAAAATGAATGGCACCACAAAGTGCAGCCCTGCAAGTCCATGTGCTGTGATAACGCTCATTTAAACAT